TACGAAAAGATTATTTTTACTTGCTTTAGTGTAGTTGATCTTGTAGAACAATATTCACTTCTATGAATCTTTTATGATTGTCAACAAAACGCGATGTTTCTAAGCGATTTTTTCTTTTGACAGTATTACAAAACCTTTATAAAGGTATTTATAAAAGTAATAGTGAGCGTATTATGCAATAAAAAACTTTTCAAAACCCTAGGTCAAAAAAGCAATTGAAAAATCCAATTTGTCGAAAAATACGTTATTCTTTACAATTATATGGAATGTGTTATATATGACTAGAAAGGTAGATAAATTCCCTACCATATAAATATAAGGAATATTTTAATGACATACCTAACTTATGTTGAAAGAAATAAAATTTTCATTACAAAATTGAGGTTATTTCTTCACGCCACATTTCACACAATGATTTCACTGTATTCTATTGATAGACGGCACAATACACATACACATCATTGAAGTACAGTAGTTTACGCGCTCATTTCAATTGTTTTTATCATTTCAGAACACGAAATTACTTCACAATGTTTTTTTATTTGTCAACAAACAAAAACTGGCTCGTGCGCAAATTAAGACTATTTATTGTATCCAGCGTTGCCAATTTGTGGGTAATTCCCCAAATTGTGGGGAATTTCAACTAGATTGGGGATTTTGTGGGGATTATGGCTATGTGAGGAAAATGTTGAAACATTTTTCATTTTGTTATCAATTGCTGTTGCATCGCTAGTTTGATCGTTACTGTTAGAAACACTGTGATGGACTATATCGACGTGATTTTCAACATCGCATATCCCTCGTATTATTAACAAGCAGCTTAAATATAATTATTATTAGAACACTTGGTTCTGAATTGTAAAATTACCAGTCGGTGCGTGTTGAGTTCGCGATTTTTTCTCCCGCTTAGGCCAGTCCCCGGTATGAAGCAAAACGAAATCAGCTATTGGTAAACAAAGCCGCGCAGTTAGTACTTCCACACCACAACTTACCACTCGTCAACTTTAAATATTAAATATAGGTCGAAACTCATCTCAACATTAACATAGTGTCATCAAATGCACAACAAATAATCGATTTACTTAATTTTGTAAGGCAAAGAAAAATGAATCTTTTTTCAAAGACTGATTACAGATTAATGTTGAATCTAATTAAAATAAATAAACGATTTAAGGTCATCTAATTTTATAATTAGTTTTACATTTTACATCCACAGCAAACGTAAGAGATTATTACAATTTGATTTTTCTTAATTCCTTATTATATTTTTAAGCGATGTATTTCTAATTAATAATGAAAACTCGAAATGTGGGGAATTTGTGTGGAATATGAACTTTGCTCTCCCCAAATTCGGGGATTTTAACCGTGATTTTTGGGGATCTTCAACAATTGGCATTGGCAACGCTGATTGTATCGAATGATGTGACTTAATCTCCAAGGTTCACCACCTCCACCAGATCTTTTAATATTCTTTATTTTATCCATTTTGCATGAACTCTTACAACGTCCAATAGAGTAAAAACCCTAATTGTAGTATTTCTTTAAATAAAATCTACTGAAGACGCGCTATAACGTGTTTGTCATAAGTACAAACACTACAGAATGTCTATAAATTAAATATTTCTAGAATAAATTTAAGAATACTAGTTTTTAGAGTATTAATAGACTTTACTGGATGTGTGTAGAACTATTTTACTAAAAATAATAATCAGTTGTTCTACAGAGAACTTAAAATAATGAATAATCTCAATACAGAGTACTAAAAAAACCGAGCTCAAAAGTACGTGGAATTACGTTTATTTGCTAAGTTTCATTGAAATATCCCCTAGTTCGCCACTATACAGGACTTGATACTGGAGATAATAAAAATAGGTTCTCTCTACAACACTTCTCAAAGTATATCGAGAGAAAAACGCCTTGAATTGGAGAAATAGCAGAATCAACTAATAATTGCTAAAAGTAATTGCTCCTAAATTAAAGTTAGGCGCTATTTATAACAATGAATCTTCATGCGTGAACAGCCATCCTTTGAGGTGGATGATTTTCTTTAAAATTAAATGGGACCACTAGGGAAATACCCCCTTACCAACAAAAAAAGAATCATGAAAATCGGTTCACAAATACCGGAGTTATCGCGTAACATACATACAAAAAAAAAAAAAGAACATACAGTCGAATTGAGAACCTCCTCCTTTTTGAAGTCGGTTAATAAGGACTATAAGAGCAAATCTTAAAAGAGATTACACTTAATTAAGTTGTTTGGTATTAAGAAGGTTTTAAAATTTTGACTTGAGTGAAATAAGTCTATAAGAACAATTTCTTTTTTCTAAAACCATTTATAGAGAACTATTATCTAAATCTATACCATATTAAGACTGTTTATAGATATAACAATTTTAAGGCGTATAAAGTGTGCTTTAGTGTGCTAAATTGGGCCTTGGGTAGTCACTAAAGCAAAACACAGTGGTACTTTTTTGAACCTACGCACCATTAACACAGCAATATTACTCGAAATTCTGAATAAATTTATAAAGAGATCGGACAAAGACTTGTTAAGTACCAGTTGATCGGGCAAAGAGGATTATATACTCGATGACTGGGCAAAACAAAGCACTCAATAATTTTATAAGTAATAACAAAGTCACTTTATTATTCCAGCTTTCACGTCAGACAGAATAACAGGGGGACCAATGCAGTTTATAGCAAATCATCCGTTCGTCTTCCTATTAAAGGCAGGGCAAAACACTCTCTTTAGCGGAGTTTTTCTCTTCAAGGTACTCTTCTATGGAAGCATGTTATTATTACAATTATTTATTTTGCACTGAACAAATTACAATTTTGTGCCTGTTTAAAATGCTTCTTTCTTCTTTTGGCTTTTCTGTGCTTATTAGACGCTGCAATATTTTTATAATAAATACTATTATAATCAGTTTTAGATTATTTCCTGTTTAAGGACTTGCATGGATATCCAGCAAATTTGATAAATGTCGACCAATGGGTAATCTGCATGTTTATTTGATAATATTATTGTATTTTGCGCCTCGATTAAGAAATTACAGCTCACGAGCCAGTCCACTGAGATTTGCATAGTTTTCAATCGTAATTTTTTTTTTCAATTCACTCCAATCACGTGCCAATTCAGCATTCGTAGCAGTTTTACCAAATGCGGCAATAACTCAACCAAGTGATTTCAAAGCGGACCACCCGTTTGTCTTCGTCCTGAAAGAAGGAGAAAACTATCACGCACTATTGTATTGTTAATGGCTTTAATTCTCGTTAAAATTTTTAATTGGCTTAAACGTTTATATCTATAGCAAACTATAAATCAAGCATTTGCGGCGAAATTAAATAAATAAAATAAATTACTTATTAAAAGAGAGTTTCCATCAGTAATTATGTAACTTTCTGCTCTGATTCATCTTTGGAGATATTTTATACAAATGAATAAAATATGTTGCAGTATTTTACAGCACTGGTGCTAGTGGATCATCTATTCCTCTTCATCTTGGTTTTTAATCTATCTATCTATCCAGCAGTGCACCACAATGGGCTAGCAATATCTATGCAAAGAGTCAACAAACAAGCACATAGAAGAATTCGTGAGGTCCACTGGTTCGTTCCGTGGCTTGGTTTTCATAGCATCTGGCACGGTTTGCTAGAAGACGTCGGGTTCGAATTCGGCCGTATCGAAAGATTTTTTTCTAAGTGTTCGATCTTTGTATTAATAATTATAACAAAATAGTATCTATCATATAGCTTGCGAGAACCAAGTCCCTTCTCGGATCCAGTTTGTTGTATCCTACCATATCCAATACAAACAAGGTTGGGTACATCAAGGGATAGAACAGGTATACACTACCTAAAGTCTCAGATATAGATATCAGGTGATTTTTTTCTGGATACGCTCGAGCATGAGACCGTACTTGGCTTCGTGCGGAGCCCACGTGACAGAGTTAGTCTGTGACTCCGTATCGAAGCGTTGTACAGCGTGATGATGACTGATATTCGTAAAACTTTCTGCATGACGAGTCATAAAATCCAGACTTCGATACGCCTTCTTGCATATTATATTCACTATATGGTCCCGTAACGTAGTAAACTCTGAATTCAAACCTTGCCCCCATATCTCGGAGCATGCGCGTAAGTTCCATGAGTTCACCTTTTATTCTGTATTTATACAGATGCGGTAGTCTTGAACGGATGAATATTATGATTAAATATATGATTAATTAAAGCTTGTTACTTCGTCTACATTCCACACCGAATGCATGTACTGAAAAATGACAATGCCAGATAAAGTTACTCAATCAAACGTGGATCACTCTCTTCTTTGCGATCAGAAATTAAAAGGACTTAATATTCAACAGAATATGCAATGAACTATATCAAAGTCCTCTATGAATAAGTAAAGTATTTCAAAATTATGATGATAAAGATTTTGACGGGAACTGCTTGATTGTTTTGCCTCCGTAGCCGGTTACCATGCTGGTCTGCCACGCACAGATCCCGGGTTCGATTCCCGGGCAGAGAGAAATCTTTGTATGACCTACATTTATTTCTCTCATGAGTTTGGGTGTAATTTGTGGTTGTCTATATGTGTGTCCATGGCCCCCGCGACACAGGGTTTCCCTAGTGCGGGGCTATGAATGTGTGCGTAAAAAAAAAAGAAACATGATACTTTAACACTTTTACCGTAATTTAATTCAATGTTAACAATACAAACTGTTGTAGCCAAGCATTTCCTTTCCTATCGCAATTTAATTTTATTTTCTGACATCGAATACTATTTTACTTTAATGCATGCTTGTTAATATTTGCTGTTTAACATTCCATAAACGCATCGAACAAATAGATTAAACCTTATTTCAATCATTTACGATATTCTGACAGTTATTTTTTCCTTAAGGCACCGTAGGCTTTACAATGCGTCTCTAAAAATCAGCTATCCATACAAACGCTTAATACACAGCGCTGCAACGACACCATGAAGCTGTAATTAATTATTCTTTAGAGCTGTACAAGTCAACTTGCACGTAATTTTAAGGGAGAAATTTGTTGCAGCAATAGTGGAGAAATGAAAAAATGCATGCACTATAATATAGGAAAATTAATAGTTATTTGTTACGCAAGCCTGCGAAGTTACGAGGGTTTCCAGTCACGAGACGCAAAACAACTTTGCTGCCGAGCGAAACACACAACTTTTCACCTCACTATAGCGAGGAAAAAGGTAGAAAGAACAGATGAACTATAACAAATCAGTTTCATTCATTCATATATCAAAAAGGGTACATTAGTAAGTAAGTAAGTAGTAAGTACTATACTAAAAATTAAAATTATTTAATAAACAAAATTAGTTATCGTTATCATTTTAATGTCAACAATAATAAGAATAAAATATACAAACAGATTTATATTACATAAATAATGTACGACAAATCGCGTAATTGAAGGTGTCATTATGTTTTTTTTTTCATCGAAAGAAAAATTTAGGTGCACGTCAAGTTACAATTTCAAAATCCTTTTCCACGCTAGCGTGAACGCTTTTGCACGCAGATTTCTAATGGGAAAGAAAGCCTTTCCAAGCTAGTGCGGTGAAAATATTTATTTATTTCCTCATTTTGTCTTTTTAACTAATAATGTTTACTAATAAGGTGCCTCTTACTTCGTAAACTTGTGACAACTTAATTTAGGCAAATTGGTATCGTGGTTGCGTAGGCTTTGAAGCGTGAATGTGTGTGTGAGGTAATTGGGGAAAAATTCATTGCATGCCATTGAAACATTTGCCGTTTAGACATAAAACACATATACTCTTTTAGTGGAAAATAATCTCATATTCCTTTAATACATTTATTACTGAACACGAGAGAGAAAATTTTATTCAAATATCTCTAATAACAATCGAATGGAACTGTTCTCATTATCAATTAAAAAAGCAAATTGAATTCGTATATTTTAATGTTGAATTATCAATTTTCCGTGTGATTGAAATAAATACTTCAAAACGTCCATTTTGTTTCGCACTACATGCGCACTACACTTTAATTTTACTGTAGCTGATATTTTGATATTGACTCTTTGTTTTTATTTTTCAGAACGAGAAATAATCCGCTTATTTTTAAGACACATCCAAATACACCGATTTGACAAAATCAAATGCCAAATTTTATGTTCATTGTCAATAAATATTTTCAATTACACTACTACTTTTGTTTTCTTTACCTTTACGCACGTTTACTTTTACGTTACTTAAAATTATTTTGCCAGTTTCCTAAAAACAAAATTAAAAATTAAAAGTTTAACAATTTCCTGTTCAAGCTTCAAGGCCCCGCGTACACAAAATTCCGTACGTATAGTCCATTTCACATAGGATTGATATTGTGACATTTCAAATTTTTACGTTGCATGCATACTATTTTTAACTAATCTCTCAACCAGGTCCCAAAAATGTTTATAATATACCATACCAGTAAATTTGTTATAATATACCAAAAACAAACAATATTTGTTGCAGTTGTAATTTTAAGTAAAAACTGCAGTGTATTAAGTAGATTGAAGATAAAAATAATAGATAAAGATAAAAATAAATTACCCCATCTACTTGATGCGTAAAATGAAATATTTATCCATAGAGATTTACGCCATAATAGAATCACTGTTTATTGAAATTACTGTTTATTTTTTAAACATTTCAAAATGTAGGTTGTCTCGTGCTTATTCTTTAAATATCTAAAGTATTTAAATACGGAACTACCTGTAGAAACACAATTAATAATTTTTTGAGGCAATAATTTGTAGCAAATACTTAATAAGAAATAATTTGTAGTCAATGTTCTCAAACTTCAAAGGGAACGTCCACGTCATTCTTTAGTTTAGCTAAATAAAATTAACACCCTCAATTCCAATTACTGCTTATAAGTATTTTTGAATACATGTAAAGTACGTTTTTTTTTGGAATATCAAGTGACGGGACGAACAAGTCGTGCGCCTGATGGTAAGCTACACGCCTGTCCATAACAGTTACAGTGCCACTAAGACCTTTAAATTGCAAAGATCTGAGGGGCAGTGCCAGTGTGCCCGTCACCCAGAGACATAAGTAAATGAGTCTCATGTGCCTGTAATTTCACCAGCACCCTTACCCTTCAAAATTGGAACACAGTAATGCGGACATTACTGCTTGGTGGCAGAAATAGGTAAGGTTGCAGTACTACCCTGGACGAACTCTTTCACAAGGAGCTCTACTGCTATAGAAGGTAGGAAGGACGTAGGTATATTGTTTTGATATAAAATTCAGGGTAAGGTTTTCTATCGTTATCGTTCAAATTCAAATTCAAATTCAAAATAATCTTTATTTCATAGGTAAGCATTATTACACTTGAAATCGTCACAATATTAAACTCTACCGCTCATTCGTAAGGCAGATTCCCCTGAGAAGAATGAGCAAGAAACTCTAGGGGTTGCTCTTTGTAAATAACATTTACAATATATTTTTTTTTAATTTGAAACATCAGAGATCGAGACTACCTCCATGAGCTAAACGGGTTACTACCACGGATTTTTGTCATCCAAGTACCTACGCAGAAGTTGTATAATAACCTTTAGTATAAAGTTTTTGTTTCACTATAGTTTTAAACCTCGTGAAAGGCAAATTTTGTATATCAACCGGAATCTTGTTATAGAAGCGTATACTTTAATGATTAAATGATTTTTTGACTTTGTGAAGACGACTATCAAGAAAAGCTAGTTTATTTCTATTCCTCGTATTAATGTTATGTCTGTCACTATTTTTCATAAATAAATTACTATTCCTTTTAACATAAATTACATTCTCATAAATGTACTGGATACATACAGACATAAATGTACGTTAGCCAAAACATCGGATAAAAACATTTATGAGCGTAATCTTGTACTACGCACTCTAGATATTCCACTCTCCGCTGCATCCTCTGCGAGAATTCGCAATCGCAGTTAGAGCATGCAAGCCGGAAAATAGTATTTTTATTTTGTTATGATTATTGTGTTACTGCTCCTTATTGGTTACAACTTACTGTAAAAAAGGCGTTGTAGCCTAATGGTTTGACCTACTGCCTCTCAAGCAGAGGGTCGTGGGTTCGAATCCGGGCTCTGAGTTTCTCGGAATTTATGTGCGAAATTTAAATTTAATTTGAAATTTAGCATGAGCTTTTCAGTGAAGGAAAACATCGTAATGAAACTTGCACGTTGAAGAAGGTTCACAACCCTCGGAAAACGTGTGAAATCTCCAACCCTTATTGAGCCAGCGTGGCGGATTATGGCTTAAATCCTCGTCTGAAAGGAGACCCGTGCCCGGCAGTGGGACGTATAATTGGGTTGACGATTGTTACAAGTTGTGCATTTCATAGCAGGCGAGTTTACCAAAATATTATTTATCAAATACATAATATTTGTCTCGTAACATGTTCTCGTAATTTATCTCGTTCATATGTAACTCAATACCAGCCGAACTGAGTTACACGCGATAATGGATGGATAGCAACATATCACCTTTTGATACTTAAGATTTATATACACTTCCGTGCTGTTGTCTTTTAATTTTTTTCTAATATTGTAGCGTCTTGCTAGTGGGCGGTGTGTCTTAGGGGTTAAAGTATGAAATACCATACTAAAGTTCTGACCACTTTGCAATAAACGTGAGTTCAAAGTTCAAAAGACATAAATCTTTTCAGTGTAAGATTTAGTTCATACATTTTTTCGAATAAAATCTTAAGGTTTCTCAATTTAAAATTCTAGCGATTTTAATTAGTTCTTTTTATGAAATTTGAAATCAAGCCTAAGTTGTTTTCATACGTAGGTAGTTTTGTAATACGAATTCCGACATGGTACGAATGCAGCGCAAACGACTCGAAACTTTGACGACGTATTTATTTATTTATTTATTTATTTATATATATAAGGTACAACTGTCTTAATATAGTCATAGTTCTACAAAACTGTATATACAGTTTGACTGTAGAATCAAGAAGACATACATTACATACATTACATACATTGACCGGATACAACAAACACACTATCCTGATGGTAAGTACGTGCACCGTATCAAAACAAAAGTATCCATTTAATGTACCTACCTTAAGACATTGAATGCGTAATGAAACAGATAATTCTGAAAAATTATTGCAGTGGATGCATAGTGGATGGCGAGAAAGCGTCACTCGCGCGACAATTTCCGATCGGAATTACTCGGTCGTTGACATGAATTTGAAACTAGCCTAAAAAATATAATCCTATACAATTTTCAAACTTTTAATTTGAACCTCAGATGCCAATTATCTGAGGTTGAAATACAAATTTTGGTTAAAGTCACCATGTCAATATGGGAAAAATATTCAAAATTTTATATGAACGCGGAAGTCTTTCTAGACAGAAACTAAAACAATAGGTCAAAGCCTTTTATTAACATTAATGTTAGTAAACTTATTTGTACAAAACAATTTTGGAATGTTCCTACTGTCATATTATGAGCCGACCACGTGAATACTTTGTGTGATAATACGTAAGACCTCTAGTTTATCGTTGTGGTATTGTAGGTATTTGTTGCGGTTTGATAGGAATATTATCTTAAATACCATAAATACTCAAAAATTATATCTTCAAAGCTTCTGAAATTAAAACACCGTAATTTCAACGGAGAAGGCGGTTTTAAGCTTTCATAATCGTGGAATCCAGTCATCAGCAAATATAAACGACATCAAGTATCGCCCGACAAGTCGCCGGATGACGTGAGTGTTGTCTGCCGGTCCAGTGACAACTCTAGTGCACAAATAATCTCTAATCTTTGCATAATGAGGGTTCTTGTAGCTTGAAACTACGTACTCCTTACCATCTTCTCTCTCATCAGGAAACGCGCTTACTTTTCGTAACTCTTGAAAGAGTTCTAACTAATATTTACTATTGATTTAGTGCCCAATATAGTTTAATTTCCTTTTACAAGCTATTTTTCCCACTTTGACAGACAGTCACTTAGGAAATGAAACTATTTTTCCGGATTTAAATCGCGTATATTTGTTTTTTCAAACAAACCGACGTTTCGGGCCCTTTACAGGTCCCATGGTCAACCGTGACGCGATTTAAATCCGGAAAAATAGTTTCATTTCCTATGTGTAACAATCGCGAAAACCTAAGAACTCGATATAGACAGTCACTTATCACGTCTGATTTCCAGACATTTGCACATTCTACCGCACTGATAGTGAACCTCTGAACTTTGCTATTCACTTATCCCACCACTAATTATGCATTATTTCATATTTTTTTCTTTCTAATCATATTTATTAATATTTCCTTATTTCCTTGGGCCAGTGTCAGTTTCGATGTATGTCGTCGATTCAATACCGGACTTTTATTTATAATACGGACTCCTCTCAGCTTTTTGACCAGAGTTGCGTAAGAGAGGTATTTTGTTACATACATATCTAATTATTTATTTATTGAACATTAGTTATAGAGCCATCAGCTTAAACAGGTATGAAATAAAATTATGAAACTCAAAATGTAAAAATACGTGAACTAAAAATGTTACGATGTAAAAACTGTAACTACTAAACCCGCCATTTTTTTCTTCATTTACTATTTTCTTCTACAATATATTCTTGCATAGAGTACCTATGCTTTAAATTACTCCTTTTTTTTAGTAATGTTTTCCATTGTAGAAAAGGCAAAGGCACTAGTGCACCATACAACCAAGTTTGAGAGTAATTTCTTTATTGGGTTACATTACCTTCGCAGTAGAAACATTTCTGCTCCTGGCCGATCACATTTTGGGTCCTCATTTCAAATTGAAAGTTCACAGTTGGAGTTTCGATGCTCATTCTTACTCTGCCAATTCCTCAACATTCGAGTACCAACCTTGCAGACCTTTTATCTGGCCAACGCTCAAGATGATGAATAAACATAAATCTGTCATAAGTAATACGGACTTAGGTACTTCTTGTATCAAACCACATATATTTATGGTAGAATTCGACCTCCGAGCGCAAGTTGCAGGTGTACCGACTGCTGCGTTACAACCGCTAGCTTATCATCAACCATCGCTACGCCGCCGGCCTCGCTGTCTCTTCAGCAATCTCTCTACTCTACGGTCCTGCACTTATTAGTTAGAATTCTTTCAGGAGTCAGGAAAAGGAAGGACTTTTCAAAGCAACGCGATTACGCGTTCGTT